GGAATGCCGCTGCGTGCTCTTTGAAGAGGTTGTCACAAGAGCTGCGTTGACAAGTGAATGTTATTCAGAATGGGTTAAGAAGACTATTGCACATTTAGTTCTTCCAGATGGAATTATAAGTACATGTTCAGTAGGGCACATTATTATTTCTCTTGATCTGATAGTTTACTTCCAAAGTTTCGCAGCACATGTTTAGTCTGCAAGACCAGACACAGTCTAGTTTTTCTAAGTCACTTACTTAAACTAAAAAAAAAAAAAAAAAACTTCTCTGTCTTTCCTCCACATTTTCTCTATCCTGATTTTTTTACTCCTTATTTAGAATTCATGTAAAGCGCCTGTAATGAAAGCAAATGACCATGTGTCAGATAATTAATCCTATCAATGGGGGAGAGTATACAGGCACAAAACACCCAAGTATCAACAGGAATCCATTATAAGCTTGTCACTGCTAATTTTTTCATGTTGGTTTCAGACTACATCTTGAAATTAGATTTTATCTTAGAGATAGAATTGTGTATTTCACTGCACCATTTTTGTTCCTGAAACACTCCAGACAGATAGGACATTTTTGCTGAGACACATACTACTTCTTCATATTTCTCTACAGTTTGATTTATACACATATTTTCTGTTAACATGCAGCTAGGCATTCATGTGTTCATGTGCTGAGTCCAGTCAAAATCTCATGGACACTGTAATAGAAATGTATGAACAAGTATCAGAGTAGACAGTCAAATTATAGCATTGATTCATAGCTGAAATTCATGCTTAAAATTATTTGAATAGGAATATAATCAGGCTATTATTCAGTAACATTGAGTTAGTTAATCACTAACAGTCGACAATTTCAAGCATTAATTCTCATTGCACCTGGCTGTGCTACTCTCTACTTTCAAATGAAAGAGGGAGATCACAGTTTGGTTATTTTTGTATCTGGGGCATAGCTCAGAGCTCCCATGGACTGTTAGTGTGGTGAAGTCTGGTGAGCTGAAGTTGAGATACTATTTTTTCTTTTTATTTTTTAGCTGGCTCATTCTCCTGTTTCAAATTGTGAGGTGGTCCCATGAGTAGCTGTGGCAGCACAGTGGGCAGGCAGTTTTTCAGCTGGGCTTGGAAGAAGAGGATGAAAATATTTTAAGTCTGTATAGCTGCTGATTCCAATATATCATCAAACCATGGCCTAAAGAGACATACAGCCTTAATACCAGTTATCTCACATCTCTTTTTTTGCTGGTTTCAGTTACAAGTCTGAATACGAAGAGACACCATCCACGCCAGAGAAGCAGCTAACTAGCAAAGAGCACAGTGGAAACAATATCCCCAGTCCAGAAACAATATCCCCAGTTTCCCCTGTGGAAACAATATCCCATAATCCAGAGCCACATCCTTCCCAAGGGGCCGCCCTGGCTCCCACTGATTTGCTTGCTTGAAAGCATGGGGATTTCACAACAGCAGCTGGGCTTCATTTTCTTGTCAATGGCCTGCTCTGACTGCTACTGAGCCCTGTATGCATGCTGCTATCAACCACTGCTTCCCTTGGGCAACCGGGCAAGGGCTCCTACCCTGTAGCATCTGCTACCTACCACAGGAGATGAGCCGACCCTGTAGTCCCCGTGGCCTTACTTGTTGCTGTACTCGTCAAGCATGCGCTGGGCATCCTTCTCCTCACGCTCCAGCTTGGCTCGATCGGATGACAGCTCCCTCATACGCTGGCGGTTGAACTCAATCTGCCCAGCGAAGGCCTCGTCCAAGCCCACCAGCTCGTCCATGCGCTGGAAACTCTCCAGCTGCTTCCGCAGGATGGTGTTGCGCTGCTCAAGCACACGGGCCCGGTTGATGTAGCTGGCAAAGCGCTCGTTGAGCTCCTGCAGGTTCTCCAGGCCCTGGGCCTGGGCCAAGCTGTCGAACTCGGGGGTTCCCCGCAGCTCATCATAGGCGTCAGAACGCTCATATTTCTCCTTGCGCACTTCGCGAAGGAAGCTGCTCCGGTACATGGCTTCGGGGAGGCCGTGGGACCCTGTGCTCCCCTCCTGTGCACGTGTCCCTCTCTCCAGTTTGGGTCTGAAGGATGCCTGGGAGGCTCGGTGGGGAAGAAAAGGACATAATCAGCCCCCGGGTGATTAGGATTTGACTGTGGGGCCCTTGTGGCACTTGATGCACCATCCGCTGCCCTGGGCTAAATAAAACCCCATAGCCCCGCCTCGGTGCTGCCTTTCCATACTGTCAGCAGTTTGGAAGAGCAAAGGGGAGGGCAGAGGGGCTTCTTTTCAAGCGTTGCAATTGTGAACAGTCAAGACAAAAGAGCTACATCCAGCCTGAGCTCTGCAGATTAAAATCTCATCCGCAGACAACAAAACGGGCGCTTTGCAGTTTCAGGGGCCCAGCTCAAAGCCTTTGATGGCTGTCCTGTGGGGGAGAGATTTGTTCCATTTCATTGTCAGAAGGTAGCATACAGGGTCCTTTTGCTGAGCCAGGTTTTTGTCATGAGTGGACAACCACAACTCTGAACAGCTGAATTTTTTTTTTTTTTTTTTTGGACAGTTTTGCCGTTGTTCAGGAGGAATCGATGGGATACAAAAAAAGTCAGTGTAACTCCTGCTCAAAGCATAAAATTTGGTCATTCGATTCACACATACTTCTCTGCTTCAGCCTTTTCTGCAGGTTATTTGTACTAGGTGTGAAGGGCATCAAAGCAGAAAACACATGGTGGAACTGAAATCCCCATGTTTAAGTGGATTCTGCTGGGAAGCAAATTTCTTTGGGGACAGCTATGCATCATGTGCTCTCAAGTAACTTGGCCCACATACCTTATGATCCCATGGCGAGCTTGCTTCATCCTTTCTTCCTTCCTTCCTCCCTTCTTTCCTTCCTTCCATTCCCATCCCCATAAAGGTTTCTCATTCAATGCCATTCCCTGAGATGGCCAGAGAACTTTGAATTCTCTGTAAGTGCTGGATGTATATGCTTTAGTATGTTGTTTTGATTTTTATTAATCTTTCCCTTGGCAAAATATTTTCACACACCTGTTCTTCCAGAAGCGTCCCTACTCTCACAGTCAGAAAGCCCAACACCAACAGAGTCCAATATTGAGATTATCTCTGTTAATAATTACTTTACACAATAGTCACCATTTTTAATAAAGACATCCAAATTGAACCTTAATTTGAACTTTAATGGAGAGCGGCATCATTAATAAAGATGCAAAAGGATAAGAATGAAACTAAGTGCTCAGATGGCTGTAGAATCTGGATTTTGCATTACTGTGTCTTTATCTAAAATAACAAGATAAAAAATAACGAAAAAAAATTAGCAGTTTTCTGCGGCACCTTGTGAAGGAGCGGACTCAGTCCTTCTGTTCCTTCGTTAGGTATGGGAACTACTTCGTTAGTTCCCAGCCGCTTACCTCTTTCAAGAGGCTTTTAGTGCATGCACAAAGGACACTTCCTTTCAGCATGATCCTTACGCTTCCTTTCAGCGTGAATCCCGGAGTTCAGCTGCGTGGTGCAACCGGAAAGACAGCTAGTCTTCAAGCCCCACAATGGACACCATTTGCAGGCATATTGAGGACCAGGGCCTCTGTGATGGTGAGCCACAAACCTTTAAGGCTAAACACAACTTACACAGTTTCCGATCCTGAAGCAGCCCCCGCCCTGCCTGGGCAGCACACAGAGCCCAGCAACCCAACCAGCCAATCAGGCAGGGGATCACGCGCAGACCGCACATGAGGCCGCCCAATGAGCTGCCTGGTCACGCGCCCGCCATGTGGCTGGAGCTCCCCCCTCTCCTGCTCTTCGTTAGGTATGGGAACTACTTCGTTAGTTCCCAGCCGCTTACCTCTTTCAAGAGGCTTTTAGTGCATGCACAAAGGACACTTCCTTTCAGCATGATCCTTACGCTTCCTTTCAGCGTGAATCCCGGAGTTTAGCTGCGTGGTGCAACCGGAAAGACAGCTAGTCTTCAAGCCTCACATTGGACACCATTTGCAGGCATATTGAGGACCAGGGCCTCTGTGATGGTGAGCCACAAACCTTTAAGGCTAAACACAACTTACACAGTTTCCGATCCTGAAGCAGCCCCCGCCCTGCCTGGGCAGCACACAGAGCCCAGCAACCCAACCAGCCAATCAGGCAGGGGATCACGCGCAGACCGCACATGAGGCCGCCCAATGAGCTGCCTGGTCACGCGCCCGCCATGTGGCTGCAGCTCCCGCCTCTCCTGCTCAGATCCCCCATCTGGACACTGCTTGGCACCGGCCCCGAGCTGACTGCAACAGTTTTCTGCATCTCCCCCATTTTACATCAAATTATTCCATGCAGGATAAGATCCTTTACATTGACAACAGCACAGTGATGTATTTTCTGGTAGTCCAGCCAGGTTACTTTATTTTGCCAGTCTGAGCCCTCCTCAGGGTCAGGAGGAGGCCTCCAGCCAAAATGTGGCCTC